AAGACAGTCAAAACAAATGTCTTGCCATTACCAAGAAATACACCCCAAATGGAACGGCGTACGGCCCTCAGACGGTACTGTTTGCCGTCCAGAGTTGGGATAGGAGAGCGTTTTGTTCCAACCTGCTGCTAAACAAAAACTCATGATCCTAAGTTGTGCATCAAGAGTTTTAGTAAATCAAAATGCTGTATAGATATTCATCCAAAAACTCAAACACACTGCCATTGAGTTGATGCCGACTCATCTTGGTGAGCCCACGGGATGGTAGAAACTCCTCTGTGGGTCCGGAGACTGGAACTTTCCACGGGAGTAGGGAGCCTCGTCTTTCTCCCATAGGTATTAATAAGTAGCATTGTGGGATAAGGAGCCCCGGCGTTGTAGTGGTTACAAGAGCTCAGCTGCCAGCCAATAGGCTGGCGGTTCAAACCCACCTGTTGTCGGAGAGACACGAGCAGTCTGTTTCTATCATCACAGCCTTGGAAACCCTGTGGGGCGGTCCTTCTGTGTCCCCAGGGTTGCTGTGAGCTGTGCACAACAGTGGAAGGAAATGCCTTTCAGAAGAGTGCCCTTCTCTTAGAACAGGGCCTGCAGGCTTACAGGTGAGCTCTGCGGGCAGGTGGGGGAGTTTGTTACAAATCCAGGGCAACCGACTGCAGTGTTTTATTACCTAGGTTTCCAGTTCTGTCCTCTACAAATGGGTTTCAAATGGGTTTTATTTCATAAAAATCACAAACAGGGAACAATTTCCCTCACTGAATCATGTTCATAAAGCTCGGATAAATGCTTGTCTGCTTGTCATAAGAAGGTACTTTTCTCCACCACTGCTGCGCAATGGGCTGGGGTGTCTCCATCCTTCCCTCCCCTTCTTGTCCCAAAAGATGTGGAAGCCGTGTACTTAGCTGGCTCTGCGTTGTTTCCCAGAGGGGCTGTGTTCCCACCCCGGTCTTCATGATGCCAGGAGTTAGAACCTCGTACAAACGGAATGACTGGCACGCACGTGGAGAGAGGATGGTCCAGCAGGCAATGCATTAGAATGGGAGATGATGTGCTCACGGTTAGCTTAATAGCCGCATTGGTGCTCATGAACATAGGTACAGTCGTGAGGCCATTGGGCCCATTTCAGCTCCTGGGGGATCGAGGTGTGCAGAGCAGAGCTGCTCCCTAGGGATTTTCCCCGCTTTCAGAAGCAGCGCAACATGGTCTGTGTTTTGAGACACTTCTGCGTGGGGTTGACACACCACCGCCCTTTTGGATAGCAGTCAAGGGCTTAACCATTTGTGCTCCGCAAGGACTCTTAAAGTTATACACAGTTAATCAAATCAATATGAATAAGAGGGAGTGCTGAGTGGAGACCCAAAGTCCATCTTTAGGCAATTAGACATCCCCTTACAGAAGGGTCACAAGGCAGAGATGAGCCAGTCGGGGCAGTATAGCACCGATGAAACACACAACTTTCTTCTAGTTCTTTAATGCTTCCTCCCCACAACCATCATGATCTCAATTTTACCTTACAAATCCGACTAGACCAGAGCATGTACACGGGTACAGATAAGAGCTGGAAGCACAGGGAATCCATAGAGAGATAAACCCTTCAGGACCAATAATGAGAATAGCAATACCGGGAGGGAGAGGGAAAGGGGGGGGGAGAAAGGACAAACCAATCACAATGATCTACATATAACCCCCTCCCTGGGGGATGGACAACAGAAAAATGGGTGAAGGGAGACATCGGTCAGTGTAAGACATGAAAAATAATTTATAAATTATCAAGGGTTCATGAGGGAGGGTGCGGGAGGGAGGGAAAATAAATGAGGAGCTGATACCAAGGACTCAAGTAGAAAGAAAATGATGATGGAAAATGTACAAATGTGCTTGACACAATGGATGGATGGATTGTGATAAGAGCTGTATGAGCCCCTAATAAAATGATTACATACACACACACTATAGACCAAACTCATGCTCACCTCGTCAATTCTGACTCACAGTGACCCTGTGGGTTTCTGAGGCTGGAACTCTTTCTGGGAGTAGAGAGCCTACTCTTTCTCCCTTGGAGTGGCTGGTAGTTTTGAACTGCTGACCTTGAAGATCACAGCCCCATGCGTAACCACTATGCCACCAGGCTCTCTTGTGAGCATATACACATACATGGATTTCCTTCTCTGTCAGCTGAGAGAACCTACAATCAACAGCACTCCAGGAGTACTGAGCCAACCTGGCTCCCAGGTCTTGGCTTCTAACACCAATCTCCAATACAAAGGGGCTAATGCTCCTGAGAGAAATGGCTGATTCTCAGACTAACAGAGAAATTATACATGGTAAGCTTGAAGCATCTACGAGGGCCAGGCGCTCCAGGAAAGAAACAAGCACAAAACAAACCCTGGATTGACAGCTTCTCAAAGGGACATAGAAACCAAGAGTCCCCAATGACCAAGTCTGGAACATTTGGTAAAACAAAAGTACTATTGAGTTGCAACTCAACATATCAACTAAATGCCCATGAACTCAGATGAAAAGTAAATGCCCATGAACTGATATTGAAAAATAATTTGATAAATAATGGGAGAGGAGACACATCTCCCATGCGGAATTCCATGTGTTATGTAGACAATCTGCCCTCAAGGAGGAGGTTAGAACTCCCCATTCCTTTAAGTTGGGGGTGTGCACAGTGACTTCCTTCCAAAGAGTAAGCTTTGGAAGAAAGTGGGGAATGAAGAACGTTAGGTGAGAGACCTAGCACTAATTTCACCTGGTGATTAAGAGCATCGACAGTGACAGATTGTGTGGATGGCATGTACCCTTGATACGATGGTTCAAGGGGCCCCTTGCGTCTGTGGGCTTCCTCCCATGAACTCATAAACCCAGTCTCATCATGAATAACAAAAAAATCAGGCAAATTCCAACAGAGGGTTGCCAGGGCTATGAATTATTAATATGGCTCTTCTGGCCAGTCTCTAACTCCCACCAAAAGATACAGATAAGATTCACCTGTGTGGTAATTACGTAATCCTCTGTCAACTTGCCAAGGGGTGGAGTCTATCCTGTCAATCAGGCCATCGCCAATGAGGCCTCTGTGTGGACATGGCCTTCTCCTGATGATTCTGGGAACTCCTGTCTTGCTCCTTGGAGGTGGGAACCTCTGCTGTGGGAGACTCTCTCTGCTGGTCTTCCTGCTGACAAGCCACATGGAGACCTCTGATAGAACCCGGGCCCTGGAGCTGGAGGAGCCACATGGAGACCCACGCCAGCACTGAGATGCTTCCACCACCCCTGAATCCACAAGACTTTCCAGCCACTGGCCTGTAATCTTCCTGCATTTGGCATCATTGCACATGTTGCATGAGTCTGAAGAATTTATGGACTGGTATCGGACATATGGACTAATATCAGACTTATGGACTTCATCTGGACGGAGCTGGGATGTTTTCTTAATACATAATTACTCTTTGATATAAATTTCTCTCTTGCACACATATGAGTGTCTATGAATTTGTTTCTCTTGTCAACCATGACCAACACAACCTGGGAGTCATTGTCAACAGGATTCCCTGGAGGAGGGACCTCATTACCAGCAAGAGCCAGAAGTAGAGCACATGCTCTGGGTCTGAGACCCCTGCAGAGTAAACCTCCTGGATCCAGAAAGCAGCTTTAACATCAGAGGAGAAGCAGCAAGAACCAGAAACCAGAGCATGGAACAGAACGATGGATTTCCCAAACCACAGAGCAAGTATCGCCGAGTGCTTTTGTGCGGCAGGCTGACTTGTGGAGTAGGGCGTCTTTGGGCACTTAATTCAGGGAGCTGGGTTTGCTGAGCAGAATGCCTGAGGGTTGAGGGGTACAGCAGAATGGTATGCCCCTTCGGGCACTGATTAGCAGACCTGATAAAACTTTGTCCAATGTCCCGATAAACAGCTCACCCCCAAGCATTTCTCACTGGCCTTACAAACGGCTAACTTCCTTAATAAGCCCTTTCATCATGAATGTCGTCTGTGAGTTCTGTGTTGCCATTGGGATAGGTAGTAGAACCTAGAGATATAGTAGGAAATACTAGTGAAAAGAACACAAGGCTGTTCTACCAACTCTTGACCGGTACACCTCCAGGTCATTAAACACCAGGGAAGTCACACTCTGTCACAGTTGAGAGGGCTCCCAGGAGACAGTGACCCTGAAAGGCCACGATCTCAAAAATACCCATTCTACTCTGCACATGTGAGGAGCCGTGTGCTGGAATCAAGAGCAGTCAGACATGACGACTGTGTTATGTTGAATTCTGTGCCCTTGCCACCATAACACGGCAAAAGGGACAGTGCGGATGTGATTCTGTATCTTGAGAGGGGAGAAGTTATTCTGGTGGGTCCCCTGTAATCTATGAAAGGATGCAGGCAGTCCTGTCAGAAGATGGGAGAGAGGTAGCAGCAGTCAGGGAGGCAGGAAGATGCTCTGCTGGTGACTGCAAAGAAGGAGGGGGCCACAAGCCAAGTCATTCAGGCAGCCCCTGGACACTGGCGGGGGCAAGGGGATGTTTCCTCCTCTGGATTCCTGTGCAGGAACCCAGTCTTACAGACCCTTTGTAGGCTTCTGACCGCCAGGGCCATCAGGGGACATATTTGTGGTTCTAAGACAGTAAGTCTGCAGGGATTTGTTATAGGGCAATGAGGAACACAGGACTGTCCCTCCCGCAAAAGAATCCCGGAAAAAAAAAGGGCAATCGGCAAAAAACCTAAGAAAACAAGAACCGGGGTCCGAAAAAAGGTTCAAAAACGGGTCAAGGGAATGGTAAAAAAAAAACAAAACAAAAACAAGAAAAAGGTAAACAAAGGAAAACAGGGGGTAAAGCCTAAGGAAAAACCCAAAACCTCCCAACCTTTTTGGGAAGGGTCCAAAAAAGGCCAATTGGTTTTGGGGTTTTTTTTAAAACAAACAAGTGAATGGGGTATGTGGGGGTTGAGACTTGGGGGCCAGGTGTTGTCTTGGTGAAAAGATAGGCAATACACAAAATGCACTAACTCATAAATGATTTATTGCTTTAAGTAACTAAACAAGGAAGAGAAGAGATAGGCTATTGTTTTGGGTCAAGACCATCTGCGGTATCTCTCCAAGGTTAACCAGTGGCATCTACTTAAAGCCTTAAAATACTTTCTGGACACTATAAACACGTAAGAAGACACAGCATACGCGGTAACGACTTGGCCAATGATACACTGAGAAGATAGCACACCACAAGGGCACCTGCCCAGTCGGGGTGCCCTGAAATGATAGGATGAGCCAGATACAAAAACGTTTAGACATTTTTGGCATTAATACTAACACAGAATACTTTCTCGGGCGAACTGCAAGCGCAGGGAGGCAAGCAGCATGACCCTCTCCTTTTCGGATCACCAGCCAGCGTCTAAGGGATACTTTAGGAGAAGCCTGGAGGCCGGGTGCCTCCTCTCCCAGCGTCTTTGCCAAAGCAGCAGGGGCTGAGGGACCAGGTGGGAAGGGCTGGCTGGCAGGGCTCTCTGGGTGTGACAAGTCACCAAGTAGCTACCCAAAGCCGAAAGTCGAAGGGGCCAGATGCTGCCTCGGGTGTCAAGGATGTAACTGGAATATTCCCTGCAGGTAGACACAGGCACTGGATGGCTCAGACCCTCCCTGGGGGGGAGGTGGAGCTGTGGCAGGGCCTCAGGCCCTGGGCCCACGAGCAGTGCTTGATGCGGCTTTAACTCAAGCACGACAAACATATTTCAAAGGGCTGCGCAGGGCCCAGCACCGTGGGCACCCAGCCCTGGGAGGACCAGGCACACCCACAAGGAGAGGTCAAACCAAGCCAAAGGGTTACACACACACAGTGCCCAGGCACAGCTGGCTGCCAGCAGGGCCCCTCAGGTTTGCAGTGTCTGGCCTTACAGCAAACTGCTGGGGCTCAGTTGTCTTCCGGCGTGGCAGCCTCTCCAGGGCCTTCCTGGGTGCTGCCTACCGTGTCAAGCTCTCCAGGGTCAGATGGCCCAGTGCAGCTCCCCACCTGGACCCTGCCGGGAGCAGCGGGCCCGTTCTGGTTCTGCACCGGACCCCCCACATCCCCGTGGCTGAGCCCACCGGCGGGGCACAGCTTGACCTCCTGGGCAGAGACACCCATCTCTTGGGAGGGCCCATCCTCCCCCTCCCCTCGGCCCCCGTGCTCCTGATGCCGCCCGGGAGCGCAGTTTCCCGCATCTGCAGGTTTGAAAAACCGGTCTTCTGCGTCCTTCTCGCTATCTTCCGCCCGTAGCTTGTCTCTGGCACCGAGTTTCCCTTTGGATTTCCTCACCTGCCTGGTGTGCATTTCTTCTCGGGAGAACCGCCAATGGAACTAGAAATCAGAGAAGGGGCAAGATAAGTCCACGCAGCAGGTTTGTACCTTACACCTGAGCCTGCCTTCTGGGCAGGAGCTCCCAGAATTCCTCGGGAGCATCCACCCAGGACATCAGTCCCTAACGCCAGCGGGACCAGGCATGGCTTTGAAGAAGCTAGATAGGGCGGGGCTCAGCGTTCTGCGGGTGTGTAGGCAGCTTTCATCTGGCCCCGTGGCAAAGGCCCTCAGGGGGCATGGTGGTGGTTGGGCCACTAACCGCAAGGTCGGCAGTTTGAAACCAGGCGCCACTGTGGGAGAACGACCAGGCTTTCTGTTCCCATCGAGAGTTCCCGCCCCTCTGCTCCATAGGGTTGCTGCGAGCCAGATGGGTTTGAGGGCAGTGAGTTTGGTTTTGTGGAGTAAAGAAATGGCCCATGAGGAAAAGTTGGTCCTGATGCCGCATCATCTGGAGGAGCAGGCCCGAGAGGTGACCCTTCCTAAGTGCCCCAGCAGAGCCTCTCTCAGTAGGAGGGTCCCCACCAGCTCGCCTAAGGCCATCATTCATTCCTGGGGCAACCACATTGCCAATGACTGGTCTGGGAGGGGGCAGAGAACTTTGAGGCCAACCTAGCTCCAAGCTACCTGGGGCGTTGGGTGAGGTCCCTCTTGAGTTTGCTTCACAGCCCGGCTCCTCCCTCTGCCTACCCCTGCTCCCTCCTTCCCAACACAGATGCTGTTCCTAGGGCACACCCCTAAAGTCCTGCACCCAATCTCTTCTCAGCTGCTTCCCAGAGAGGCTGAACTATAACTGTCTTCCCAGGTGACAGCGAAGCCAAACAGTGGCTCGGCAAGCCCATGCCCGGGAGTCACTATGAGAGCTGAATGAGAACTATTAAAGTCTCGTATAGGCGGTGGGTAGAGGGAGACGGCCCAGAAACAGCCAAATGATGCTCCTAAACCTCTGTTCCTCATCCCTAAGTAGTAACGGTTGTCATCTCCTTTTAGATCGAAAGTCACCAGTGTTTTCTGCAAATATCTTAGGCTGCGCACAGGGTTCCTAATCTATTCCAACCAGGTTATAGTCACAGCAGACACAGACCCACATTTGTAAAATGCGGATAGACTAGAAGGATCACCCAGACAGGAAAAAGGATGGGTTACAAAGCCCTGGACCGGGAGACTTGGAAGAGGTAGAATGATCCCTGTCAGAAGCCACGTGCAGGAGAGGGGTGATTAGCAGGACTTGGGAGAGCACACATTCAGAGCAGCACAGCTGCTGCCATCTCTGACTCAGACGTCGTTGTTTCAGCTTCTGCTGGTGAAGAGATCGGGTTGTTATGCACAGGTGCTGCCCTTGTCTTCTAAGGGCGAGACTACATTTCTAGTGGGACACTGGCCTGCAATTTTTCCTGTATGGTAGCAATCCACTTCACCCACATTAAGAAATCCTGGGTCCATTCGGACCATTGCTTTGTGGGCCATGACTGAGCTGGGAAAATTCATTAGAAACCTTGGATTTGCAGGCCACATGGTCTCATCACAACCCCTCACCTATACTGTTGTTAGGCAAAAGCAGCCAGTCAATACATAACTGAAGGGTAAGCTTCGCTTCAATAAAACTATTTACAAAAGGAAGCATCCGGGCAGATTTGGCCCATGAGCTACAGTTTAATAAGCCCTGTTTTAGGGGGTTTGGGGTATATAAAAAACTATTGTTGTTGTAATTTAAAAATTGTTCTCATCTATCTAACGATCACCTGAGAAAATTTCAAAAAGTTCACGGAAAGAGCTCATTCTCCTTTCAATTTTTCCATGAATCTTTTGAAGTCTCTTCATCTATAACAAAATCTTTGCCATTTTAACTACTTTAAATGTACTAATTGAGCGGCATTAATTAATTCACAATGTTATAAAGCCAATCACTATGATCTATTTACAAATTTTGCTTCATCCAGAGATTCCATCTTCATTAAACAATTTTTTTTTCCTATCCCTCCTTCCTCCAGCCATAGTAACCTCTGATCCATTTTCTCTGTGTGCAATCGGCTCACACACAGGAACAGGTGTGACGATGGAGCAGGGCTGGCGCTGTTTGCTTCTGTTGTACACAGGACTGCTGTGAGCCAGAACCAAACTACAAGGATGCATTTCTCTGTTTTGGATATTTCATGTAAGTGGGACCATACACTATTAATCCTCTCGTATCTGCCTTCTCTCACTTGGTCGAATGTCTTCAAGGTTTAGCTTTGTTACATGTATCAGTACTTTATTACTCTTTCAGGCTGAGGAATATCCCACTGTACAGATAGGCCACCTTTTGCTTATCCATTCATCTGTGATGGACGCTGGGGTTGTCGCTACCTTTTGACAATGGTGAAAAGGCTGTTGGAAACATTTCCATACAAGTATCTATCAATTCTTTTGGGTATGTTCCCATGGATAAGATTACTGGGCAGATGATGATTCTGTGTTTAACTTTTTGAAGAACTGGCAGCAGGTTTCCAGTGACTATACCATTTTATGCTCTGTCCAGAAACAATTTCTCCACACCTTTGCTAGCACGTGTTATTTTTCATTTTTTTAAATTATAGCTGTCTTAGTAGATGTGAAGTGGCATTTCATTGTGGTTTTGATTTGCATTTCCATAATGACTAATAATACTGATGGTTTATTTTTTGAGATAGTTAAAGTTTATTGTGCCAGCCTGGCCGATAAACACATGTGGGGTTAATTGAAGGGCAGAGAGATAAATGGCTTCATGAGCCTCGCCTTTCGAGTTCTCAGGTCTCTTGCTTTGTGATGGTCGGACCAGGGTACAGCTGCCTTAGCCAGTTCCCTGCCTCAGCTGACAAGCCTCACTTCCTGCGAGACATCCCCGAGGAGAAGCCACATGGACCTACCCCAGTGCAGCCCAGGGTTCTGGAGCAGCCATGTGAAGACTCCTGCCAGTGCTAAGATGCTTACATGCTCACTGATTTGGCTTTCCTCCTGCAGTCAGCATCCTTGCGTGTGTTTTGTGAGATGGAGGAGGAGTTTGTGGATTGGTGTCAGACATATGGGCCCACATTGGATTTGTGGGCTTGGGTAGCACCAGGTTGGGATGTTTTCTTGATGTGCACTTACCCTTTATATAAAACTCTCTCTTATACATATGAGTTTCTATGGATTTGTTTCTCTAATGTACCCAGACTAACATATTTTTTTTAGCTTCTTTTCTGTGTTCACTGTTTATTTCTCCATTCAAGGAATGACTACTCAGATCATTGGCCCATTAACAAATATATGTCCTTTTGTTGCTGGGTTTTAGGAATTCCATATATAGTCTAGATATTAGGTATATAATTTGCAGGTATTTTCTTTGTTCTGTGAGCTATCTTTCCACTTTCTTGATAGCATATCTGGGGCAGAAAAATTTTATTTTTATGAGGTTCAGTTTATCTATTTTCCTTTAATTGCTCATATTTTTGATTCCAGAGATAAGAAACCACTGCCAAATCCAAGGTTATCAAGATCTGCCTCTATACTTTCTTCTAAGAGTTTTGCAACTTAACGTTAAGTCTTTCATCCACTTTAATTTTTATATGTGGTGTGAGGTAAGGGATATAAAAGTTTTTAAGTGGATGCAATGATTTGATAATCCATGCATTGGGCTAAGCATTCTGCCTGGCACATGACATACAGGTATATCTGGCACTAAATATAAGTTTTATGAGGTCAAGGCTACCATCTGTCTTCTTTAATATCCCCAGGGACATGGCCCAGTGTTTTGGACAGGGAAGATACTAAAAAAATACTGCACAATGAATGAATTAAAGACAACACAACAGAACCCAGCCAAGCTGGCTACACATGTATTTCAGAATGACGTGTCCTGCAATTCGGGGGCGACTGGTTTGTATGACGTCACAATTTCTTAAGGCTGGTGAAGAGGCACCGGTGTGGCGCAGTGTCAGTTCTGGTTGATCTCCAGAAAGAGAGATTATTTCAAAGAAGAAGGGGGCTGAGAGAGGAGGGAAGTTGGGCACTCCAAAGTCCTGCTGACCCTAAGACTGCACTAACTGCCCCCACAGGAAGAGAGTTTGGGAGCTCGTGTGCATGGAATAAATCCAGGCAGAGGAGCCTGGGAAGACACCCAGAAGTGGGTTGTGGAAAAGCATTCGGTGAGTCAACAAACCCTCAAGCACCCCAGCCCTTGTATTTCCAAATATACGGTCCCTTCCGCCTTCCTACACACAGGCCCTCTGACCTCTGTCATCTCAGGGGAGGGTCAGTCCCTCTGGGTGGCCTCTGGAGCCCCAATGAGCACGGAGGTAAGGCACCTGAGAGCCACCTGCTGTGCACCAGGGAAGATGGCAACCACACAATCTTCAAGACGCACCAGGCCGTGTTGTGAATGACACAAAGCACAAGACAGATGGGTCAGTGAAGGCCAGAGGCAGGATACCCAGCGGGAAGTGAGACGTCACCACTGTCATTTCCTTCCACTGCAGCTGTCCCCAAGTACAACCAGAATGCTCGCTGGAAGCCATGATGGCGAGACTTCATCTCGCATACTTTGGACGTGTTGAAAGGAGAGGCCACTATCCCGAAAAGCACATCACGCTCAATAAAGGAGAGGGGCGTGCAACAAGAGGAAGATGGATGGACACAGTGGCTACAGCCATGGGCGGCTCTAAGAGAAGGACAATTGTGAGGATGGCGCAGGACCGGACAGTCTTTCGTTCTGTTCTCCACAGGGCCGCTGGGTGTCGGTACCGACTGGCTGACACCTAACAATAACAACGACCGCCGTACCACACTGCTTTCCCCAAAGACTTACATGTTGTCCTCTGTGACTGAAAGAATAATAAAGGAAGCCTCAGTTCCCATGACTTCTTGCTGCTGGGAGACATCGTAGCTGACAAGACACATGGAGACAGGCTAATGGCAGCCAGAGCCTTGGAGCTAGAGAAGCCACGTGGAGACCTCTGCCAGTGCTGAGATGTTCACCCCACCACTGGATCCACAAGACTTCCCAC